GTTTTGCTTTGCTTTACTAACCAAAAAATAGTATAAGAAAAGTACGGGAAAAAAGACCCTTTATTATAAGAGCTAACTTTTTATCGTATACGAAGCATAGATAATAGTTGCATTATTACGCAACACTTTTTTCTTTTTGGAAATAAAATATTAATAAAAATAATATTGATATGTAAACATAAAACAAATCCTCAAAAAAAAAAAAATGTTTTTTCTTCGTTTTTTATTGCAATAAAAGTTTTTTTTCTAATCTTTGAAAAAAATTTATTTTTTAACGCAACCTATTTGCAAAAACAATGTTTGTTTTATAACAGAAATCATCCTTTAACTAATCCATTCTTTTTCTTCAAATTGCTTTTTTTTTTACTTGCAACATTTTTACTGCTATACTACAGATATTAGAAAAGAAAGAAAAATACATATTTATATCCAACTTTATCATTTGCATTCTCCAAATTTACTGGTCCCAAAGTTGACGGTTTGCCTAGATACCAATCGGCTGATGGATCGTACTTTTCCAACAGTTTCAACAGCTCCGCAATGTGAACATAGTTATCGTCATCAAAATGGCAACCCCATCTGTAATTTAACGTTCAGAAGGAAAAACAGATGAAAAAAAAAATTATTGTTAAGTCTTATAAGATATAAAAGTTTTTATTTACGCTTTTTTTTCTTTTTGACACTTTTGGTCAATGGATATAATCCACTCTTTTGTTGTATATATCGTTTCACAACGATCATTGCTGATACATAACAGCAATAAAAAACAAAAAAGAGGATCTGTAAAAGTTTGTTTACTTTTTTCAAGCCATTTTTTATTCAGCTATCAACTTTCAACTGTAAAAAACAGAAAATCTTAAGCAATATTTTTTAGAAGAAAAAAGATACTGTAAATATTACAATAAGACATCAAATTTAAGTCTGGCAAAAAACAAAACTAATCAGACTTACAGTTCTATACAGTTAGCTGTCAACTTAACACAACAGTTCAATTTTATCTGTTATTTAAAAATTTTTATGACCATCTTCTTCTCCTATTTTTCAAAGTTACAATTTTGGTTTTTTAAAAAATGCCTCTTAACAAGAATTTACAAAAATCTATAGTTGTATAAAAACAATGATTAATTTTTTTAGCCAAAAGGTATCAGTCTTTTAGCTGTCCATTTGTGCTTTTGCTCTCAACACATTTACCTGCAACAATAATAAGCAAAAAAAATGGCTTTTTTCAAAAGTCTTTAAATTCTATCCAATCTCTTTCCATCCATAAATATGTAATTACAGCTGATAGACTTAAAAAAAGAACCTTTTTTTTTCAAAATTACTTTTTACTGTATCGTAATAATGACAGTTTTGTTGCTGTAAAATATTTATTGAGTATTGAAAAGACTGCTGGAGGAAGTAGTAAAAAAAAGACAACTACAACCTACTGACATCAATACAGTTAAATTTATAGATTTATTTGTTCATACATCCCGTGAATTGCCAACTAATAAACTTTAGTTTAATTCTGATATCAAAGAAAAAGGATAAACAATATACAGTTCTGAAAAAAAATTTTTTTGATATATTAGAAGGCAAAAAAAAAA